AAAAAAATTATGAATAAATCTTGAATAAATGTTTAAAATAATTATTAGATTTGTTTACAATTTTGTTTTAATGAGCTGCGATTTAGTCTTAATATAAATATATAAATTGTCAATTAAAATCTGATGCATATTAAGAAGATCATCACCTGACTTAACTGAATTATACAAAATTAATGATCAAAATCATAATAAAATCATAAACTATTTGTAAATAAATAATAAATAAATAGTAAAATATTCTTAAATATTTATTCAATAAATTGTAAATAAATTGTAAAGTTTTATTTAATAAATTGCAAAGTGTTAATATTAAATAGCCTTGAAAAAAAATATATTCTTCATAAACAAATTATTTCTATAATTATATTCACCCCTAGCACATTCTCTGCCATTACAAATATGAACGAAATGTATATATTGATTGTATTCACTAAATTTATAAAGAAAAATTTTTGTCAATTACTTCTTGTTTGTAGCCTGAATATTAGATATTCTAGCATTTTTTGATTTATGTCTTCAAACCAGTCAATAATAATAAAAGCAAAACAAATATTATTCTTTTGTTGATAACAAAATATCATTCTTATGATCGCAAAATTATCTCCTTCTTCAAGATGACTGATACAACATTTCTAATATGTAAGCGATATATAACAGTATTGCTATTTTCTTTTACAAATAGGAAACTTGTATATCTAAAGAATGATATTATGCTATTAAGTATTGCAGAATTGTTTTCTAAATATTTGTAGGCTAACTTTAATTCTGCTTAAAAATTTAACAATAACAATAGTTTAATATTTCTTTGAGAAATCTGTTTCTTTAATGTTATATTAGAAATACACTCATCTGAAGAGTGAACTTTAGAATAATATGATTCATATTAAATATATGAGTTAGTATTAAATTAATATAAGGTAGCATTAAATATGCATAAATTAGTATTAAATAAATATAATAAAATGTTAAATAAATAAAAATATTATATTAATTTGTATTATACCTTCACTGCATTATCATTAATATAAACTATATCTTTCGTGATAAACCAGTCACTTATCAACTATTTCAAATGTCTCAAAAGGTTCATAAAGCTATTATTTGATATGAAAAACTGTAAGTCTATACTACCGTCTAGTAAATGTCATATTGCGAATAATGTAATGTAATATTTTAGTAGATCCAGATCCACATTTTTTAGATTTGTTCATAGTACAATACTTTTAAATATTCAGTGTACCATCTCCTTCGTTTTAATACTTATATTCAACAATGTTGCAAAATTCTTTGTATGCAATAGTAGATAGAAGTTAGCATGCAAGTTTGGTAAATTCTCAAAATCTTCAAACGCTTATTTATAAATAAATGAAATAGGTAGGATTAGCTATTTGATATTGTAATAAATATAATAAAAATATTAAATGAATAAAATTATTAAATTATAGGTAAAAAAATAAGTGAATAGATGCGCAAATAGAATTTTGAGTATATATGCATATATTTGATTAATTGCAATCATTCACATTTCCATATAATATTATTTTTCATTTCTTCTTTTATTTATATTTTGATTATTATTATTTTTTTTTATAATCTATTTATAATATATATAATAAGTATTTATTAGTATCAAGATGTAATAAATGAATAAAAATATAATAGATAAATAAGTGAATAATTAAATCTTAAAAACAATAGCTTTTTCAGTTTTTTGTTTGTAATTTTCCTTCGATTTTTATTATTTACCTATGATAGCATATACAATAATTAATATTATAGATCAAATAATATTACCTATGATAAAAGTTTCTGTTTATTATTCAAGCAATTGCATAATCCATTATAGCCTTCTTTTGAAAAGAAATCCTTAAATACTATTACCATCATTTTTGCTACTGATGTCTAACATTTTATCCAGTGTTTTACAGCCCAATCACTCCGAGTAATTTCTGTATGATGTTAAAACAAATCAAATTCTGAAATTTTAAAATGTGTATACTTTAAGAATCTTTTTAGAATAAATAGAAATATCATAATAAATTGTAAACAATCTGACATCATAAAACTGTCAATATGAGATATTAGATTTGGTAGTTTTCGCCAAGATTTTGAGTATTCAAAAAACTTCTAAACTATAATAAATTCAGATTTTTCTTCTAGTGAAAGTGCTTTGATTGTAATCTTAAGAAATCTTAGCACTTTTCCAGCTATAAGATGATAGACATTTTGTGGTGATTGAAGATGTCTTTCTTTTTTTAATTGATCGAATATTAGCAGTTATAATTGTAATTCATATTCAGTTGCAATTTGCCTGCATTTTATAATTATTGACACTTCAGAAATCTCTTTAAATTGTTTATCTATTTGATGATGATAGCGTGAGATTAAATGCAAATCAATACCATTTGATGTCAAGGAATCTTTGGTCATACTGTATGTTTAGCATCCTCTATTAGCATTATGCTGTTTTACTCCAACTAAATCATTACCTTGCAGCAAATCAGTGATAATATTACTAAGGCTTGCAATTATAAGACATTCATTTTCTTGGACAAACATAATTTTTCTTTTCTCTAATTCTCTCATTTTCACAATGAATGGTTTGATAAATTCATCAAAAAACTACTGAAAGGAACAAATCCAAGTGTAAAGTGATTCTTAAGACGTATTTTTTCATTAAAAAGCATGTTTTGATCTAAATATAGACATCTAATGAGTGATAAACATTATGAAATGTTCTGAAATTATCATAGTATAAGTCAATATATACTTTATAAATTGAAATATTTATTCTTAGTTCTTTTAATGCTGCGAATTCTAACGGATATTTATAAAAGTATTTGACACTTCTTAATTTTCAGCGTCCATTATACTTGTAAAGAATCTCCTGAATACTGATCATATTACAAATAACAACATCATTATAATAAAGGATAGTAACTATTACAGGTTTAACAATAGCTTGTGATTTAATATTAACGATGGCATTATCTATTTTTTGATCTAAAAACCAAAATTTTCCATCTTTAGATCTTTCACTCCAGTTGATACTTTGTAAATTCCTTGGTAAATCTTTGAATAATAAAACACGTTAGATTTTGATTTTAATTTATTATCTTGTTATATGATTGCTAGTATACAACCAAACTTTTTCAAGTTTCTAGATTCTCTATATATTATGAAATCACCAGAATAGTATAATTCTATAAAGAACATTTAGTAAATAATTGTCAATAGAAAATAATTTAACTTTTAAATGAAATTTAGCTTAAGTGACCATTACAGATAATTGTCTGAATCTTGCAGATTCCTTTCAAATATTTCTGTGCTAAAGTTCTTTATTTTTTTGATCTCTTGACCTGGTCTGAAATATAATATATTAAATATTGAAGGGTTATTTAGAATATGACATAAAGTATCAGTAATAGATAAGTAATATGCGTTTCTAATATTTTTTGAAGTAGATAGCATTTCTTGTTAAATATATTAATTCAGTAAGACTTAATTGGGAGTAAAGGCAATCTTTGCCTATACTTTTTAAAGTGTTGACTATTTGATATAATGTCTTTGCTTTTGAATTGTGATTGACAAATTATATCTACTAGTTCATTATATGCTTGGGTAGCTAGTAAAAAATTATGGTAAGTTTGTGTTGTTGTTTAAAAAGTTTTGAAATAATCTAACTTACATATATAATGTTTTTGCATCCAACAAAAAAATAGCGATTCAGTAATATTTTTGAAGTAAGATGCAAATTCATCAGAAGTTCGTGATATTTATTCACTATTGAAGGATTTATCGATGATTGTTTCTTCATATGATTCTTCTTCGTTTGTTTCATCTTTATTGCTACCATCTTCTTCATAACTTTTGTTAAACTCCATCATCATCCTTTCGTATTCACTTACTATCTTGTCTTCATTTGCTTCTTCATTTTCTATATTAAACTCTGTATCGTCTTTAACCTCATTTCCTATTCTGATAGCTAGCATTATTTCCTCATTCTTATCCATTTCAGTTTGATTATTATTTATAGCATCTAATATATTGTTATCGTCTAGAAAAATTAAAATATTATTATAAAAACCATTATATATAATATATATTATAATGAAATGTAACAATATTTACCATTTATTATAAAATTTCTTTCATATAATGTTAAAGATATTTGTAAATACATGTTAAATATGCCATGCTATTATCTAATATAATTATGTTAACTATTGTTAGAATATTTGTCTCAAAATATTTCTCAAAGAAAAAAAAAATATTGTGTAATTTTTGAAAAAGAAAACAAAAAATTTTTATAGTTTGATTTGATTTTTTTTATATATTGTTTGAATAATCAATTTTGATTGTTATTATTCAATTATTTGAAGGTTGCAGATAATGAATAAACTATAAAAAATATTAAGTATATTAAATATCAAATTATATAATTATAATGTCATATTAAAATTAGAAAGATTTTTTTGTAAAGCATAAAAATAGTTTAATTGAAAGTTAAAATCATTTTATTTCTTTCATGTATTGTTAGAATAATCAATTTGTATATTTGATTATTATCGATCAATCACTCAAAAGGCTGGAGAAGATTAATAAATTATTAAAGAAATATGTTAAATATATTAAATATATAAATATAACATTATATTAAAAATTTAGAAAGCTAAAGATAAATTGATAATATTTTAATCTGAATATATTAATATAAATATACAAATCATTTTGTTTATTAATGAATGTTTCGTATAAAGTCTAAAAAGTCTAATTTATTATACTATAATGATGTAAAAATAGTTTAATATATAGTATGATTTATATAATAATAATATATTTCATTATAATAATACAATAAAGTTTATTTTAATTTAAAGAGAAACATTTTTTTTTCTTATAAACTTTTTATTTCTCTTTATTTACTACATTTTAAAATTTTACAATTCTTTAAAATTATTATTATTATGCCTCCCAGAAATACTATCTGAAACCAAAAAATGAAACAAAATATTATTCAAGTTGATAAAATTGAAGTTGCTGGTAATAACTATATCTTAACTATTATTATAACAAATTGTATATATATATATATATATCAATAATATCTCTTTAATTCCAAAAGAAAATCAAGAATAAAGAGTGACTCTAATTAAAGAAATTGCTAAAAATGAGGTTAAAAGAAAAAGCAGTCTGTTATTGAAGATGACAATTAACAAAATGTACTACCAGCTCTAAAGACCACTGTTAAACGTAATTGAAAAGATACTATCTGTAATGATAACACAATTCAAGAACCAACTGTTGTCAAAGAAGATTCAGATGAAGGTTTAGATGAAGGAGTTAACATTTAAGAACCAACAGTAGCTGCAAATGCTTCGATTAATAAACTTCTAGAATTAAGTGACAATGACGATGATCTTTTAGAAGGTAATTATTTAAAATAATATTTTAACAGTATAATTCAAATTTTATTTACATCTTTCTCATTTTTACTTCTTAAGATAAAAGTCAGGTTAATGAAAGTGTTATAAATACCAAATGCAAACTTCTCGCATCAATCTCAAATAATAATAGAAACACATTAAATGAAATAATTTGATTTCACATAAATGTTTATTAAAACATATTGAATAAATTGGATGACTCAAATAAAACATCTGAATCTTATTATTATTTACATTTAAATAATATACTTCGTTCTTCTCATAATGATCGCCTAAATGATACAACTTTTTTAAATTATATACGTATAAGGCTTAATGATGATGATTATATTTTTCGATCAAATGCACCTAATATATTTGTTTAAATATACCTTTAAATGATAATACTATTGTTCATTCAACTTCTGACTCTTTCAATGATAATATGTTTCATTCAAATAACACTACTTTTTGATCAAATAATACAGAATCTATACCTTTTTATGAAATGGATAACATTTATCAAGTTTGCTCATAGTTATGCAAGAATCTCAATATCTTACTATTGGCTTATAATATGTATTTGTTGATGTAAGTATCAGTTGCAAATAGATTCAACATTATTTTAGCAAACTTTAATTCATCCATATTGTCAACTGCAACATCGCATATACAAGAAGACAAAGTATAGTTTAATAAATGATTTTTTATTTTTTTTTAAATTATTTCATTAATTATTAATTAAATTATAAAATATAGGTTAAATCAAATCACGATTTTCTAGAAAGATGAAATGTTTATTCTTATGATCTCGAGACCTTGAGAAGAATGCTTTCAAAGACCTAGTATAACAAATTTTTGAGTGTGATCTAAACTTAGCTAAAGGTATTGATTGGTTGCGAGCAGCTAATAGAAACTTTGGGAATTTTCACAATAAATTTCTGGATTGTATTGAAGAAAATGTTAATAAAATCAAAGAAAAAAAGGTTAAGTAAGCATTTTTTTCATTTTAATTTCTTTAATTTATTATTTTAGCAATTTTTTTTGTATAATTTATTTAATTATAGAAATGGAATTTCATATACAACTCATCTTTCACAAAGAGAAATAGTTTTATTAAAAGATAAATATATGATGATAAACATCTTGCAAAGGTGACTAAATGTGATAAATATGATTGAATTAAAGGTTCAAAATACGATGTACCATTTATGTAAATTGATTATAAATGCCATAATAATTAATTATATTACAAGAGATACTGAAGGGACAAAAACTTTGGATAATATAACAAAAAAATAACAGTTCCATCCTGAAATGGTAGAAATATCACCAGCAATTTGAAATTATGAATCAGGTATTCTATTATTTATTAATTTTATTATTAATGAATTTTATTTATAGTGTTATTGATATATTCATATCATTTCATTATTATAAACAAATATAGCGGTATTATTTAATTATAATAGTATAATAAACAAATTTATAATAGTTTCCAGCATTTATCACGATAATTATATATATAACAGCAATTTTTATTACCATTTTTTATTTATAATTTTATATTACAACAATAATGAAATTATAGTAAATAATCATAATAAGAGATTTTTTATTAAAAAAAAAGATGTAATTTATTATAATCAATTATTTGAGAAATTGGTAGATTCATCATTAAATATTTTCTAATATATTAAAAAAAATATTGAGGTTAACTTTTCTAATAATTTTCGATGATATTCACCATATATCTAATAGCATGCTATGACTTCGAAAATATATTTTTCAATAAATTCACAATCATGTTACGAGCTCATTTAATACTGTATTGTCACATATTAGATACTAAATTATTGTGATTTGATGATGATCACTTAACTATATATTAACAAATTAAGGGTTTCTGCAAAGTACTTGATGATAAGTATAATTTTGATTCTTCTCTAAATCATCAATTTAGTAGTTGAGATACTTTTAATGTTAATTCTAAACTAAATCTTAAACCTATTTTAATTAAGCATTTTTTAACAAAAAAAACATTAATGATACTAATTAGAACATTTAATTTTAATAATAATTAATATGTAATTTTATATATATATCTTAAACTAAGTAATTATTATCAAAATAAAAAAACTCTTTCAATCCTATTATATTATTATCATTCTTTTTTCAATCTTGGAATCTTTGTGAAAAGGTATTTTGCTCAACAACTTATTTTAACAGAATATATCAGAATTCATAGTAAAAAAAAACCCTATATTTGTAAATTGTGAAAAGATATTTACTGTAAATCTAAATAATAGAATTACTTAAATCAGTATAATATTTATGTAAAAGTTAAATTTATTTAGCGTGAATAAGCTCAAGTGAGTTTTAATATTCAAATATTGCAAAAAATCCTAGGATTAGAAAAAAATAAGCTCAATGTACCTATAATAGCATAATTTAAAATTTAATTCAAATATGAAAAAAATATATAACTTATATAATTGAAGATGATATAGTGGTGATCATAAATTATACAAAATTTCATTAAAACAAAATATTTTTTGTAATTACAAAAAATAACTAATTTTTTTTTTATTATTTTAATTATTAATATTATTATTTTCAAAAATTA